AGGGGATATAGGATCATTGGTCGGGGTCGGGTTTGCGGTCGAGGATGGGCCTGGGCCTAAGGTTTGGGTTGGGGTCGCTTGAGGCGGAATCCCCGCTTGTGTCAAGGTTTGGATGGTTGCAGCGTCAGTAGTGGAGGAGGGGGGGCGTCTTCGAGTCGTGACAACGATCGTTTGGGCAGCGTCTGGCAAGGTGACCATAGGTTGTGAAGTGATCGGTGCTGTAGTCTTAGTAGTAACCCCCTGGCCAGTGTTTGTATTGGGACCTTGAAAGCTCATTGATGTGAACGGAATTCCACCGTCACAGTTATCGAATGGTCTTGGGTACAGCGTGGTGCCTAAATCCTAGCATTAGAATTCTCCATGTCTCCTTGAACAAAATACTAACGGGCAGTGCTTATGGAGTAATCATCTTGAGCCTCCAATGTGATAAAGCCGGTATAATTTGCTAAATTTGATTGTTAGTGTTCAAAATCTCGAGGTGACAGCCCGACGAAACGCACCCATATCCGGTTGCATCGTGTAATGATAGGTATTACTCGTTGTAGTAAACAGGATCTCGGTGTCAGAGTGCGTTTCGAACGTGATCGATGGTGAGCGTTCCGCAGTGACGATATACGGCGGCACTCCGCCCTCGAAGATCCAATCAATGGCATCACAAGCCACTCGATATTGCACAGAAAGCACTGTTACACCTGGAGGGAGAGTGTTGCCATCTCTGGGAGTTATGCCTCCCAGAAAGGAGTGTGAAATGAGTGCGAACAGCCAACGCATGTCGATCTTCCGAGTTTTAGTGCACTAGTAGTGACCAATCTGTGGGCAAATGTCCCATATACGATGAGAGATCTCTTAATGATTTTTGTTTTTATAAGGACGCCTTTTCCTTTCCAAGGCTGAGAATGGCCGGACGTGGTGCACAGATCCCGGATATGCTGTACGCGCCATCAACTATCCCACATGCTTAGCCATCAGGGTCCGAGTATCCCATTTGCGGACCAGGATCCAAGTAATTCAAGATGCAGCGGTTCAGGCATAGTGCGACGGGCGAGTCGGAGACCAAGTTAGGTCGAATGCTTTAGCACTCCGTGGTACCTAACTGACACTCACGCGGGTAACATTCTCGATCGCATCGCATGGAAAAATAGTACTAAAAATAAAGTATACACGATACCGACACGGACACCCAACGATGGTGGATTTCAAGACTGCAAAACCCGGATCGTCCCTTGTCGAGTGAAACAGGGCACATTTCCTCTATACGTTATGTCGGTCAGGAGCGGTGTGAATTCATGGATGAGCCCCTTGTAGTATACCCTTTTGCAGAGTCAAGCATCAACGACGAGCTGTTCTTGAGATTCACTTCCGATTCGAATTCTGGATGACTTTTGGTGGCGGTACACGGCAAAAGCGATGAGCCCTGCGAACACTAGTCCAGCCGTAATACCAACAATAGTACTGGCTGTGGTGGATATCTCGAGTGTTGTCCCAGCTTTGGTTTGCCCAGAGCTGTTACTATAAATAGAGTAATCAGCGACTACATCAGAGTTGAGAAGGTTGTGACAGACACGTATGGCATGTTACCCGTTTGAATGTTATCAAGGCCACCAGGGTCTAGCATTGTCCTAGGGTCATCAGGATACGTAGTGGTCCTGCCATTCTCTTGAATCATCGTCACTAGAGTCCTGGTAGCTTCGATTTGGATGGGTCGTGTTTGAAGAAGGTCGATTGTATTAGGTGAAGTGATAGTGGATCCTGTTCGAGCAAACCCTGTTTCATAAGGCTGAATTGGAATCGATTGGGGTGATACCCTTGTACTAGTAGAAGGCAGGGCGATCGCCAAGGGTGTCGTCTCGATTGATAACGGGATAAATGGTTTTACTGTATATGTGGGTATATGGATCTCTGGAAATAGATCCTCGATGTTACCTGAAGAAACCCACCCAAATCCCCAGTACTATGGTGACAATAGTCAATCAGATGTGTCTGGCAAAATGAGCAGAGAACCCACAGCGGTGTCTCCCATATTCATGCTCTCAAACATTTCCGGATCCTCACATTGATCAGTAGGTCGAGGATTAAACTTTATCCCTATCAGAGAAAAGCAGTTGAATTT